ATATCGCTCTACGGTTTGAAAACCCATCGTGTAAACGCAAAACCAATTCCATATCGCTCTCAAGGTCAGAAAACACACGAATGAGAGGGCCATCAAAGCAGCAACAGAACAAAAAAAGTAGTACTTTCTGCAAAATTCATTTGAAAATATGGACGGTAATTACAAAATTCTGTGCTAAATTGCACACGCTGCAACGCATTCGACGGCTAATTTGAACCGCCAGCATTCTCGAACATTCCTATGGGCCGCCCATGTGTTGAAACCGACCAATCATAGGTGTTGGCTCCGCCCGATTCTCTAGAACATTCAGATCCAGTATTTAGGCCACCAGCTCGAGTGTGGTTGGTCTCCTCAACTGCACTTGGACGTGTTCTACCGGTCTGTTTCTAGAAGTTCTGTTGGTTTTCCTGCGTGTTCCTTTTGACTTTTTGGCGTATTGACTACTGCGCCGTTCTCCTTGTTCGTGATTTTGAGCTTTTCGCGTGAGCGATTCTGTTGGTGTGGTACCATAGCTGACTGTTCCAGTTTTCAGAAATGTCTGACGACAAGGGCGAAACCTTTGCATTCCAAGCTGAGATTGCTCAGCTTATGAGCTTGATTATTAACACTTTCTATAGCAACAAGGAAATCTTCTTGAGAGAACTAATTTCGAACTCCTCCGATGCATTGGATAAAATCCGATATCAGGTTAGTTCGCAGGTTTTTGGACCTTCAGCAGATTGCTAACAGTAGTTTGATAGCCGCACAGACGGCTCCGTGAGGGTGGATTGGGGAAGCTGGTTGCTAGCTATGCGATTATGGTGGAATATGATGATCAGAAAAGCAGACCTCAGGATGCCTGTCCCTCCTTTTTTCTTACTCCTTCATTCTTTACCTTCCGTCCTCTCATCCCTCTTCCTTGTACTCCTTTGTTCAAATGCTCGGTCAAAATATGCCATGAGAAAACACCTCTGGACCCACGCAGCGAAACCAACATGCACTTGACAGAAGCCCCGCAACGCTAGTGTAACAAGTGGAGCATTTGTAGTTACTGGAATTGTATTGGACCCTGTCTGTAGTCTTATGACGTGCTTCAAACCACACAGTGTACCAGAGCTCTTCCTGCAAAAGTGAGTTGGCTTAGCACTCACGGGTTCAGAGTCTGCATCCGTGGATCGTGACAGCCTCTTCGCATATGGGGTTCGATGCCATTCAACATGAGAACGTGGCAGCACTGAACTCGTAACATTTGAAGTATGGTGCTGATAAGGTTTAACTAAATGCACCCGTGTGCTGAAGGGCAATGATTGGAAGCGAGAAGTGGTAACAGGAGTCGCGACTGGCAGCACATCTGTATCTGCTTCAATCAAGGTTAAGGCTTAGTGGAGGTTATGACTACCCTGCGAGACTATCCCTTGGCAACTCTGGTCTGGTCGTCTACGCTGTTAATCTTGAAGTGGATGCGGGCGCAGTTGAATGCCCCCGGATCCCCTTCCACTCTGAAATTAGCCACTTCAACTCTGGCTACTGGCTACTCTGGTCACCAGCGTTCTTTTATGATGCTTGAGCATTGAACAAGGAAGGAATCATTCGTAGGAATGTTTTAAGAGAACCGGTCACCAGAGTCGCCGTGTTTTCGAAGCATAGACTCCTCCATAGCTCCTGTTTGGCTCACCACCAGATTGCTGACAACCAGGGGCCGCTGGCTACACTCGCATAGCAGGAAATCTCTGGGAGGCCCTATACTTGCGTTTTGATTAGGTGGAAGGATACCGAGGAGCGGTGAACTATCCCACCTTTCCCTTCTCCCAGAAAAAAAAGCGAGGGAATGACTTGCAGGCGGAACCCACAGCTTTAGATTGTGCGAAGATCCATGCGAAGCTGAATCCGAAATCACTGTGGGAAGGTGTGACCCGTGTGAAAGATGGAACGTAACTGAGACTGGATATGCATTGTTTCGTTTGACTACTGTAGCACTCCGAAGAATTAGGAACTTCTGCGCCAGACGAACATGGGTGGCAGAAAGCTGATTCTCACACAAGTGCCTAGTATAGTCCGTGGATGAGGTTCCTATGAGCTCAGCTGAATTAGTATGAGCGTCAGAATTAAACTACTATTTTCAAGTGTCGGAAATAGTAGTGCGTCCGTGAACTGACCAAATACGACCCTCCCCTCTCTCCCA